ATTCCTGTGGATGATGTGCAGTGCCGCTTGAGACCTCACTGCTTCGACACTCCCGCGAAGCCTGTCCACACCCTAGTAGCGGTCGTCATCGAAGTCTCGGTAGTCCACGCGACATCGGGAGCATACACGCATGCGACAGCCATCGCAAGACCACAAGAACTCTCTCGCACGCCAGTAGCAGTCCGCGCAGGTCCATTGCTCGACGGAACTTGATACAGTCAAGTCAATTCGCGTCCAATGGTTATGTCGGCAATCAGCCTCAGCCCGGAGAGCCGCGGCGACTCGTCGAACCTGCTACTCATTCGCCACGCCATCGCCTTGACGGTCAGCCACTTCTTCTGCGCGGTCCAAGAGGCGTTCTTCATGCCATCGCGAATATCTACACTGCTTCCAGGTAACGCTGCATCCGTAGCAAAATTCGGACCCACACGGGTACCTAGTAGTCACGGATAGTTAGTATTTGTATCTGCGGCAAGGGTATAAAGAGGTCGAAAATACCTCATGTGATTATAGCTATGAGAGATAATATTAACACGACTGCAGCCTGGGTATGTAGCAGCTCTGTTTTCCGTACGTCATCCGTCAAAAGCTTTATCGTGGACGGTGGTGTAATCTGGGCTATCATGATACTGTGCCTTGTATTCTGCATAGGTTTGTTTCTTGCAAGCTGGGCACGGCGCTATGCGCTCCATAATCTGGTCCGGAGCAATGAACGTCGAGTAGCTTTGCTGGTAGTAGTAGGTCCGGCTAACGGTCTCGTACTCGATGATTTTGGCCTCTAGGTCGGTAACTATCTAGTCTCCCAAGATAGAAGCAATTCCAGGATTGTCCACGAGGATGTTCGGTAGGTGTTCACAATATCGTATAGGATAGTTGCCTTCGTTTTTAGTAGCTAGATAAAAACGACGCCTCAGGCAATCATGGCACCAAAAATGATCATAGGTTTCCAACAAAAATCCTTGAGCCCTCTACGCCTCTTCTATATATGCATAGCACTACTTGGGTAGCTATTCGGTAATCTTGAGTTGATTGATATACTCCTTAAGTTGTGTACTGTCATTAACGTTCACGTGGGCGTCTATATAGTCGAGTACTACGACAACGGCGGATATAGCTTGACCTTGTTGGGCTACGCTTGCTCGAGCGCCCTAGTGTAGGAGAGGGACATCGGACAGTATGGCGCGATAGATACTATACTGCATTCGCTAGGATACTTGACGGGCCTCAAACTCATTCAACTCTTCGAGCTACAGGCGAAGTACAACTACTTGACTCTCTAGCATTACGGCAGTTGCGGGCACAACCGCAACGCGAATAGCGGCATTGATACTTTCGAGCTCCTGGCCGAACGCGGCTCGAGCCGCGGCGATATCGATATCTTCTGCATCCATGATACCTGTTCTGCGGTAGCAAGACCCTAGGGCTTGAAAGAAATTGACCTGGTTAACTAAAATTACCTTTCCACTCTTCTCGGCTCTTTGAGGCGGTCCCTTCCACCCCGATCAAGGTCATAATGCCTAAGTCACAGCTTGAGCGCCATGCGATGAAGAAAGAAGGTTACTGATAGCTCCAAGCACGGAATGTGTTGGAATCAGCGCAATAACTAGGGCCCGGTATTGTTGAAATGAAGTTATTGGTCTCGCGAAATGTGGAAGAGAGATACACTCTGTTATAGACGTTCTCAATCGCGCCGCACCCATGACGAGCGACTTCACTACGACTAGTCTTCCAAATCATATAGACTTCTTCTATCTTCAATTAACACTCCGCTTGTGTACAATTCTACCAAGAAAGGGGAATTGCGTACAACAACTCCCCTGGCTGCATTGTGAAATTGGCTTGGCTTGGTTCGTGGAAGACTTGAGGCTAAGACCAGGCCGGGAGTGTGGTATCGTCCATCATCTACAGCTCAACCTTACTACTCCATAAATAAACGTCTCTCGACTTTTCAAAGTAACCTTCGATCGAGCCGCAAGTGAGACTTGATAAAAGAAAAGGGGTAAGTTATATTATCACTACGGTATCTTATCTACACGT